ATTGTTAAATCTGAAAAACTTCAAAAAATGTTTTGCAAGAACCAAATAAATTATTTGATTCTCAATTATTCAACATGAAAAGGCTCTGATGCCACTTGTAGGATAATTTATTGATTTAAATAATTGGATCTTTCATGTTAAATCATCAAGAAATACATAAATATGGTGGAAGCATACCTGAATCAGATATGGTTAATGTAATAATGAATTTCGCGATTTTGTCTTTCAAATCTATACCTAGTTTCATTTTTCTCTCTGTGATGGGATATAGAAAAGAATGAATAATACGTACATGTGATTTAGGGACCATAATCATATTTATATAGCGACGCCCTTTGACCTAATTCGGCTCATCATAGAATTAGGACTTGGACACGATCTCTACACATATGTAAACCCATAATTTAATTGGATACATTAAAGCCTAAAAATCGAAGCCTTATTAGATCACTTAAATTGGGCTCAACCGAATTCGATAGCCTTTAATTTAACACACAATTATTCTCACATATAAGCCCATCGATGGATTAAAAACCCTTACATTCAGGACATTGAATCTTACCTAGTACAATAGGTTATTCCCTTTTCAAGTAACTTAACAGAAGTAACATAAGACATTGTTCTTTTTTCCTTTTGGAACCCTTGATCGAGAAGAGAACAATGCTATATATCATCACGGTCATGGGTGTTTAGTGTCCGGGAATAATGGAATCCACGCCCTACAATTGATGTTAATTGTTTTTTTTTTATATATATTTTTATATTTATTTTAACCAATTATAGGGTGTTGGGTCTACTGAGATCTATCTACTGAGATCTAAATTAATGCTAAGCACAGGTGGTTTACTATATTTATATTATTTTTTATTTTTTGATTCATAATTCAAATCGACCCTCATTCTTAAATTGAGTAATTCAAATTCCCTAATCATAATTATTGAACTAGGTAGTTCGGTTACTGTTCTTTTAGAACTAGATCAAACGGTTATTCAATGAAACTATTTCACAAAAAAAAAAAAAAAAAAAAATTCGATAGATCTTTATTGATTCTAGGAGGAAATGGTGGCATATAACTGCCTCACTTTGCCATTTTTTCAAAATGACCTTTGACCCAAAAAATCTCATTTTAAAAAAAAATGAAAACTAAAAATGTAAACAATACCCAAAAGGTTAAAAATAACTCCAAATAAAAAGAAGAGGAGAGGAGAAAGAAAGAGAAAACTAAGAGAAGAGAATCATCGACGCCACCTACGGACTGCTCAAACTGGACTCATTTCGACCATTTGCCGGAGGTTGCCATTTCTCAAAGATTAGATTTTTTTTTTATTTACTCACCATTGAGGTCTAACATATGTGGGAATTTAAATGTTTGAGTTTAATACATAAAAATTTGAATATGTCAAATTATGAGTTTAATACAAATTTTTATAGTTAAAATAAAAGAAAAAGTCAAGTTTGAGGTTGAATTGATTAAAAAAAGTGAAAAAATGGGATGGAACTCGTCGAAAATGAAGTTTTCATATGATTCAGACAATAACGACGTCACCGTCTAGATCCAAACGACCCAGACGACTGGGGCAACTAGATCCGAACGACCCAAATTGCCCGGACGGCCCAGTCGTTTGGACCCAGATAACCCAGTCGTCTGGATCCCGATATTTTGGGTCGTCTGGATCCAGATGAGGGTCAACAGTCTGGATTGGTCCGTTCCAACCATTTTTTTTAAAATATTGAATTTAATTATTTATAAATATTTCATGAATTATGTAAATTGTTTATTTAAATAAAATAATTAATTGTTTTTATTTCATTTTATTTAAAATATAAATAATTTAAATAATGAAATAATATAATAAACAATTGAGTATTCAATAAAACACTTAAAATAAATAAGAAATTAATATAAATAATTAAATGAAGTAAATAAATATGAAATAAACCATTAAAATAAGTAATTAAATAGAGTAATTTAATATTAAACAAACAATATAAATAACCAATTAAAATAATTAATGAAATATTTAAATAAAAAATTAAATTAAATATTAAATCAATATTTAATTTAATTGTTTAATTAAATTTTTAAGTAATTACATTAATTGTTTATGTATATTATTTGTTTAATATATAATTATTTATTTTATACTTTTTTTGTTTATTTAAATATTTCATGAATAGCGTTAATTATTTATGTATATTGTTTATTTAAGTAAATAATAAATAACTAATTGAAATAATAAACTAATTGAAATGATAAATAACTAATTGAAATAAATTCAACAAAGAAGTAAATTAAATACTAATTAAGCAATAAAAATAATTACTTAACATAAAGAACAAATAAATATAAAAAATAAAAAATGGTTTAAATAAGTAATTAAATATTAAATAAACAATTGAAATAAATAATTAGCATTTAAATATTAAATAAATAATTTAAATGAACAATAAATATAAATAATAAATAATAAATAATTTAAATAAGTAATTAAACAATTTCAATAAATAATTAACATTTAAGTATTAAATAAATAATTTACGTAAACCAGAAATATAAATAATAAAAATAATTAATTAAATATTAAATAAACAATTAAAATAAATAATTAACATTTAAAATAAACAATTAAACATTCAAGTAACATTTAAACTAAATATTAAATAAACAACTAAACAATTAAAATAAATAATTTAAATACACATTTAAATATTGAATAAATAATTTAAATACACATTTAAATATTGAATAAATAATTTAAATGAACAATTTAAATAAATAATTAACAACTAAATATTAGATAAACAATTTAATTAAGTAAAATAACAATGGCATAGTTAGGAGAAATATTCAAGGGAATGCGGCGATATGTTTGAGAAGTTGAAGTTGGGATGTGTTTATGCTGCAGAGAGCATATTGAGGTGTCATCACAAAAAGACGTCGATCGGCGTATTTTATTTGGTGGTTGTTGATGACATTGACACGTTCAACAACTATCCATGATGATAGAGCTAACAATTATCAGCTCTCATCGACAATCCTGAGGTACGTATATTCATTTGTGATTTTATGTTGTACATCATTTCGAAATCTCGATGCATGGTCATTAACTCGATGAAATATTAATATATCAGTTTGAAGTTTTCACTGAGTTGACACTCTTGAATGAGGACGAGGGTCAGAATCATATTCGAATAGATACAATCGACAGGCAATGGGGGTCTCAAATAGTGACAGAGAGGGTGGCGGAGATGGCGACAAGGAGGGTAGTGGTGAAGGGTGAGGATGTACGTAGATGTTTCATTAGAATTATTATGGATGTCAGTAGGGATGGGAGAGGTGTCAGTGGAGTAGACGAAATAATTGTATATATATTTTTTATTTATGAAATAATTGTATATATTGTAAAATTTATTTAAATAAAGTAATGAATATAAATGTAAGCTTTCTTTTATGTACATTGTGATCCGTAGTTGTGATAATTTAAAATGTAAACATTTTTTAAAAACGTTTGTAATACTTTAGTTTTTATGTAATTGTATAATAAATAACTAATTACCATTAATTGCATATTTAACACACTATAAATAAAGAAAATTGAGGAAGTCAGTAAAATATTATAAATAGAGAATACATACGATTTAAGTAGATATTACATATTCGTCATGTCAATTTTCATGTAATCAATAACATACTGTAAATAGAGAAAATTGAGAAAATCAATAACATACTATAAATAAAGAGTACATACGATTTAAACAGAGATTACATATCCGTTAGATGGATAGTAAGATACTATAATAGGAAACTTCCCACTTGACCTCATTTGGTAGAGGAAATATAATTTCGACATTCTTGAATAATGTTCAATGTCTTGAAAATGTGATCGTACCTAATGTTCGACTTCTATTTTTGTTAGATATTATCATGCACTGTGTGATTTATGTTCTAATTAAATATTAAATAAATAATATCTATAATCAATTAAAATAATTAATTAATGAGATATTTAAAGAATAAATAAAATTAAATATTAATTTTCTATTAGAATAAGTGATTAAATAAATAATTAAATAAAATAATGAAATATCAAATAAACAATATACATAACTAATTAAGACAATTAATTAAAGAAATATTTAAATAAGAAATTAAAATAAATATTAATTTTTTATTTTAATAAGTGATTATTTAAATAAAGTAACTAAATATTAACTAAACAATATATATAACCAATTAAGGTAATTAATAGAGAAATATTTAAACGAGAACCAAATTAGATATATATATTTTTATTTATTTGAGTAGGTGTTCAAAATAAATAATTAAATAAGGGCCAATTAAGATAATTAATTAATGAAATATTTAAAGAGAAACAAAATTAAATATTAATTTTTTTATTTTAATAAGTGTTTAAAATAAATAAATAAATAAATAATTAATTAAATGTACATAATCAATTAAGATAATTAATTAATGAAATATTTAAATGAGAAATCAAATTAATTATTGATTTTTTTATTTAAAAAAGTGATTAAATAAATAATATACATAATCGATTAAGATAATTAATTAATGAAAGATTTAAACAAGAAAGTAAATTAAATATTAATTTTTTTATTTGAGTAATTATTTAAAATAAATAATTAATTATAAAGTGAAAAGTGCTTGGTTTTTTCATTTGTAACTTAAGGATAATTTTGTCCTTTTAAATAAAATTCTATCTTTATACTTGTATAAACTATTTAAGGATATTTTGTCTTTTACTCAACGAAATGCCATTTTGATGATTGACAAAACATTTTGATTAGAGTGAAAAAATGGATACTTGACTTGTCCAAACTTAAAAGTACCCCGCAATTCTAGTTCAATTTTAAAGCTCATAATCAAATCAATTCTAAGTGAAAACGAACTAAATTGACTAATTGATTCAGGTGGTTCCTAAAAAATATACCCAACTAGCCTACGCCCACCTAACTCAACAGTAGTGTATATCCACGATTGAACCAAAATCAAGAATAAGTCCTCAAATCTATCAAATCCATGGGACTCTCGAATTCGACCCAGAAAAATGAAGCCCAACGCACAAAACAAATCTTCATCTTATCCGGCCAGAGCAACATGTCGGGGCGCGGCGGCGTCTTCAACCACCACTGGGACAGCGTTGTTCCTCTGGAATGCTCTCCTGATGCTTCTAAAATTTTCCGCCTAAATGCACACCTTGGCTGGGAGGTGGCGCATGAGCCCCTCCACCGCGACATTGACAACAAAAAAACATGTGGAGTGGGGCCCGGAATGTCATTTGCCAACGCTGTCAAGGAGCGAGTCGGGGTGGTCGGGCTGGTGCCATGCGCCGTAGGTGGGACCAGAATTAAGCAGTGGGCGCGTGGATCTCATCTTTACGAGAACATGATAAGGAGAGCCAGAGCGGCTGCGGCGCAAGGCACCGAAATCAAGGCGTTGTTGTGGTACCAGGGAGAAAGCGATACGACGACTCGAGACAATGCTGAGTCCTACAAGGAGAATATGGAGAAGTTTATTCACAATGTGCGTGCTGACTTGCATTTGCCATCTCTTCCAATTATTCAGGTAAGGAAGAAGTCACTTCTAAATTGAACTGTGTTACTAGTCCGTACTTTTGCTTAGTGCAAAAAAAAAAAAAAAAAAAAAAAAACCTTAATTTTTGTTTGAAAACTTATTTATAAATAAAGCTTCTTATTTGAAAAGCACTTTTAGAGGCCGTCACATTGAACCAGTAGCACTTTCATGAAATTTGCTAAATGAATATTCCTTTTAACTTCATAGAAGTCATACCAAATGGGCCTTATGTCTCGATTACGATCATATAACCCAGGCTACTAAACTAGTCGAGGCTGTCGAGCTATATCATGTATGATTCAACGATGTGAGATACAATTTGGTATTTTTTGTAGGTGGCAATAGCATCAGGAGAGGGGAAATTTATTGAGAAAATTAGACAAGTGCAAAAGGGAATTGACGTCCCAAATGTTGTATGCGTCGATGCAAAGGGATTGGAACTGAAGGAAGATAATCTTCATTTAACAACAAGAGCACAAGTAGAATTGGGACATATGTTGGCTGAAGCTTATCTCACCCACTTTGTATCCCCATCTGACTCAGTCATCTGATACTTTGTCAATTTAAATTTGTTGTAAAAGATCGATTATTCTTCCAGCTAAGCCATGTTTGACTCTCTTTGAACAAAAATTCTTTATTTCTCGTTCCCACGAATATTTTGCACTTGAATCAATTTTTTTTCCTTCTTGTTAATCAATCATTCTCCAAAAAATCATTATTAAAAATATCATTTTATCCTAATTTCTCTTTATAATGACCATCAAACATGGGCTAAGTCATACGTGTGTGATTTTGTTCGAGTTATCAAGTCTTTTGAATGAACAAATTGTATCTCATTTTGCAATGTTGAGTCTTGTTTTTGACTTCGGAGTTTGGATTGGTGGCATATTTATGTTTAAAAACAGCCTTTTGAGTCTTTGAAACTAAGGGTTATTTAGCTATATTTGATTTAGTTAAAAAATTAATAAAATTTTAAGTTAAATTTAGCAATTAATTTTAAGTACATCATCATGAGATCCACAACTTTTATCAATTTTTCAATCATATATTAAATCAACTTTTATTAGAATTTAATAAATAATTTGAAGGAAAGTTAGTAGAAATAAATATTAGAAAAATAATAAATACTTTTTAGGAATAGTAAAATTAAGTGAGAAGAATAAAGAGTTCCTTGGAGAGATACTTTCTAAATTAATAAATATGCTCTTTAAAAATAGAGTCTTTTGAAAATACTTTTATTATCTATTGTGTAAATAATCTTTTCACTAAATTTAATGATATTCATCGAAAAGGACTTCCTAGTTTCCTTTAAAGCTGAAAGTTGATGGTGAATTTTTCTAATAAAATTGTTTCCGGCTATTAACTTTTCATTTTTTATTTGGATATATCTAGAATTGTGCTATTCTTACAAGTACATCATACTTAACCTTAGGTTTACATAATTTCAAGTGGTGCCGAATTTTATTATTGGATAATTTAAAATATAATAATTCTAGTTGTACAGAATTTTTTTGACAAAAGTCTTATTGAAGTCTCATATGAGAGTGGATCCCGAATAAAATAAAATAATGCCAAAAAATAAGATGTGTGTGGTCCGTAAAATGTATGTATTTGTACATAGAGCGCCTCTGCTACCAAACTTTTTGTTCAGACAAAGTGACTTTTCCCTTCCAACAAATATCTACTTGACAAGTTGAGAGATTTTCGATCTTCACCAACTCCACAGGGTCCCATCCCATGGCTTTGGACTTAAGTGCGACAGCCTGGCTCCACTTTCTTTAATTATTTTCTATGAGTTTTACTATTTTTAACTAAAAAATCGATTTTATGTCCAGAAAAACGAATTTCACGAATCCAATTTGAAAAAAGAATTCAACACAATTAGTAATCTTGAGAATTTAAATGCTCTAAGCTTAAAAGATGGAGATTTTGAACACTTAATTTCTCATTATTTCATGTATCCTATTAAAAAAAATCATCATGTTTTATTTATTATTTGCACCAATTGAAAAAAAAAAAATGAAGAAGAAGGAGGAGGAGGTCCATGTCAACATGATACAGGCATCCACCAACCTATACTGCTTTTATATATATATATATATATATATAATTTGGAAAAAATTTGACTTTGATTAGAGTATTTTTAGAAAATAATAAGTTGGACTTAATTATGGAAGTTTTTTTTTATTCTAATGTTAATTAACTAACTTAAATTATTTTCTTAATATAACTAATCCATTTATATTCTATGTTTTTAGAACGATGCACGATGGGCACTCAATTTTAATAGTACTTACAAGAATTGATCGTTTAACTGTGGTACATCATTGTTTTGATTTTGTATGTATGTTTGAATGTGCTACTATTTTCCAACTTTATCATATTCAATTTGTGACGTCACTTTATAAATAAAATTTGGTTTTATAAAAATAAAATAATAGCACGTTTTGAATGATTGAAAGATTCGAGTTTGGATGCTTCTTTGCATCGTACATCGTTTGAGATTTAAATATATATTTATTAATAAGTAATTAATTAAAAATCGAGATATCCCTTGTAACAAAAAATAAAAGAAAATAATAAATAATAAGAATTCATTCTTTTTTGTTTTAATTAAAATTATATTTTTAATGAATATTAATAAAAATTAATGAAATATATAACTTAAAGACTGTACAAACAGCATTGCCCAATTTCTTTCAGTACCTAAATTATTGATTTCCCACTTATCCACTAGCTCCAGGGGCCCCCTGCATATAAATTCGAATATTCACTCCGTCGCGCACTTCACTCTCGTCCGCCGCAATTTCCATACATCAACTGCATATGGCGATTGCAGCTTCATCAACGAGCCTTAAACCATCGCCTTCATCAGCCACCGCATCATGGATGCGCCACCACTCCCTCTCTACCACTTTCGGTGTCACTGCTCTCTTTTTCCGCCGCAGCGAGCCACGTTGCCGCCGCTTCGTGGTCCTCTCCATGGACGCCAAGCCGACAATCCTGGTGGCCGAAAAGCTCGGAGAAGCCGGAGTGAAGCTTCTCAAGGATTTCGCTAACGTGGATTGCTCTTATAATCTCAGTCCTGAGGAGCTCTGCACCAAGATCTCGCTGTGTGACGCGCTGATTGTGAGGAGTGGGACTAAGGTCAATCGTGAGGTGTTTGAGTCGTCAGGCGGTAGGCTTAAGGTTGTTGGAAGAGCTGGTGTTGGAATCGATAACGTGGATCTGGCTGCTGCGACTGAGCATGGGTGTCTTGTGGTGAATGCTCCCACCGCTAACACAGTCGCAGCGGCTGAGCATGGAATTGCGCTCCTCACTGCCATGGCGAGGAACATTGCTCAAGCTGATGCCTCTGTCAAAGCTGGTAATTCATTCATAATTGCATCAACACGTACCTGTATATGATAAGTTTTTTGATTTCTGCATTGTTATTTTCGAAATTAGTTTTTTAATTTTTAAAAATTATTTGTAATATTTCTTCTAACTGTTAATTTTTTGTTGGTGAATTTAATTAAATAAAGCTTCAGATCCGGAATATGCAAAATGTTATTTGGTCTTAAGACGGTAGAATGGCGTTAGATCTGATTGTTCCGATCTTTTGAATTTGCTGCCATTAGAATATAAAGATATCTGATGCCTTTTTTTGCTTAATTTTATTTAGACAAAAAGTAACTTTAATTGACTGTGAAATAAATTTTTAGATTCAATTAATATACTCTGCAGAAGTAAGATATTCTAAAAGTGGAAACCTGTCCATGTGAAAGTTGAGCTTCTGATTTTGTCAATCTTTTGAGTCTCAATGTCCTTGTGCTCTAGAAGATTCTCCAGTCTACTATTTATGACGCTATTGAAGACTTTTTGCTTTCTAAAGTGGAAGTCACGAACTTGTAATTTTATTTTATTTTTCTTTGGTTGGAAGTCTCAAGTTTTATGTCAACACTGCGATAACTCATATAAGACTTGCTGCTTCGCTAGACATTAGTAGTTCACTGTTATCACAGTGTGTGTCTTTCAACATTTCCAGCGCCAACAGTTTGTTTCCCTTCGACCAGAGTTCTTCCATAGACCCTATTTGTAACACAAATATCACTAAAACTGAACATTCAGATCCTGTTTCTCTCAAAATCAAATGTTTAGTAATTTCTGTTTTCCCAAATTTCATAATTCATATAGGCCATTTCTCCCCTTCATCCATTAGCTTCTCCTGTCTTTCAGTACTCTGAGAAAATTTTAACTAAAGGAATTGTTTACGTTGTTCTTATTTTTATATCTTGTTGTGTGACTGAGAATTATGGAATTACAAAGTATTTTTTTTTTTTTTTTAATTTCTAAAGTTGATAAAATAAGCAACAGGTTTTCATTGTATGAAGCTAATATGTTCTGTTATATTTTGGATAATCCATGGATCTCAACTTTTGAGTGAAGCTGTTATTTAATTCCAAGACCGTTCTTTTCAGATGTTTATAGTTTACTGTTGCCTTTTGCACCTATAGCTTTAAACTGATCTAATTAACTCGAGTTATTATAATGTAATCAATCAGGTAAATGGGAGAGGAGCAAATACGTTGGTGTTTCACTTGTTGGCAAAATACTTGCAGTTATGGGTTTTGGCAAGGTTGGAACTGAAGTTGCTAGGCGTGCCAAGGGGCTTGGCATGCATGTTATTGCACATGATCCATATGCCCCAGCTGACCGTGCTCGTGCAATAGGAGTTGAGCTTGTGAGCTTCGATGAAGCTATATCATCTGCAGACTTTATCTCGCTTCACATGCCACTTACACCATCTACATCTAAAATACTCAATGAAGAAAATTTTGCAAAGATGAAAAAAGGAGTGAGAATTGTCAATGTTGCACGTGGTGGAGTGATTGATGAGGAAGCTTTGGTAAAAGCACTTGATTCAGGCATTGTAGCCCAGGTACTTGCTAAAAAATTCTGGAAGAACAAATGATTGATTATTTGAGACATATGGTGAAACTGTAAGAATCTATCAATATATTTATTCATTATTACTTAGAAAATCTTCTTTGCAGGCAGCACTTGATGTTTTCACAGTGGAGCCACCACCAAAGGACAACAAATTGGTGCAGCATGTTAATGTAACTGCAACTCCTCATCTTGGAGCCAGTACCATGGAAGCTCAGGTTTACACAACACTGCACTAATTTTTCTGTATCTTTTCTACTTCTTATACCATATCACTAAATAATATTCAAACTCGTAAACAGGAAGGAGTGGCCATTGAAATAGCTGAAGCTGTTGTTGGAGCCTTGAAGGGCGAGCTTGCTGCTACAGCCGTCAATGCACCAATGGTTCCGTCGGAGGTATTTCTGTTAGTCGATTGCACATATTTTTGCATCAAAATTTTCGTTTCTTATGTCAGTCTTTATGAATAACCTTTTTCAATTTCTCTTTGATTTTAATAAGTGAGTACAGTATATGCGGAAAATGACACTGAAGAAAACTGCGCATGTAAAATATTATTTTCACCTTTGTCCACTAGTTTATATGGATTTGTTTAAACAGTGTGTTGAACTTGATATTGCAGTTCTGTTTTTTATTTTTTTTCTATATTCATTTATTTTCTGGGAGGAAACATATGTCAAAAATTAATCAGTGAAGCTGTAGGTATCTCGTTTTACAATCCTTTTGATTGCAGGTTCTGACTGAGCTGAAACCATTTGTTTCACTTGCTGAAAAACTTGGTAGACTTGCTGTCCAATTAGTTGCAGGTGGGAGCGGTGTGAAATCAGTTAAAGTTACATATGCTTCTGCTAGAGGTCCCGATGACCTTGACACAAGGTTGCTTCGTGCCATGATTACCAAGGGTCTGATTGAGCCTATTTCCAGTGTTTTTGTAAACTTAGTGAATGCGGATTTCACTGCTAAACAAAGAGGACTTCGTATAACTGAAGAACGGGTCATCCTGGACGGTTCACCTGAAAGTCCACTTGAGTTCATCCAAGTTCAAATTGCCAACGTGGAATCAAAATTCGCCAGTGCCATATCTGATTCTGGAGAGATCAAAGTTGAGGGTCGGGTTAAAGATGGAATTCCACATTTGACAAGAGTCGGGTCTTTTGAAGTGGACGTGAGCTTAGAAGGCAGTATCATCCTCTGCAGGCAGGTTGATCAGCCAGGAATGATCGGAAAGGTGGGTAGCATTTTGGGTGAGGAAAATGTGAACGTGAGCTTTATGAGTGTTGGAAGGATTGCCCCGAGGAAGCAAGCCATAATGGCAATTGGAGTTGACGAGGAACCAAGCAAGCAGTCACTGAAGAGGATAGGAGAAATCTCAGCTGTCGAAGAGTTCGTTTACCTTAACTTGTAATATATGTTTGATACATAGTACTGTATATAACTTGACAAAGTAACGAGCCAGATTTTTACTTCTTTTTTTTTTTCCCCCTTTGTACTACCATGTCAAGTGTTGTCTCATCTTTCTTACCAAACATGCCTATAGTGTAATATCCATTGCACTGGATTGTTATGCTGTGCTCAATTTTTGATTTGTGTTATTGTAGCTTTAGCCAAGGGAAAGAAATAATCCGGCTGTGCCATCGGATTTACGTACTTCATTGATTGAATGTTGATACTGTAAACGAATTTTGCTACTAAAGAGTGTGTTAGCTAGCTTCCCTTCGACAAAATTGTTCCTCTCTCCTTCCCATACGAGAAAATCCTTTGGAATTTCTGAACTGTTATTGAATTTTCTTTGTACTGTAATTCCTTCCTATAGATCTGCATGAGCACTACCTTCAGTAGTACAAGTGCTCGTCAGTGCTTAATTGGGAAGATTTTGTTACTTCAATTATGTTTGTATAAATTCTCCTTGTTTCTTCAGACAGTTCATTTATAAGATAGTCTATTTAAGTCACAAATAATTCTCAGTATTCTTCTTGTTCTTGCTCGGACTTGAAAAAATTTTATTGACTTGTGAACAAAATTACGTATACCCTGGGGAAGGTTGTCCATAAATCACATTTCCAGCTCTCAGTTTGACAACAATATGCCGGAGGATTTTAACCAAATAAGCATCCAATTCCAACCGTGATGATTTACGAACCAGAAATAAATGGAACGTGAGCTAGAGTTGTTGGGAGGGAAATATTGAGTTTGTGAACCGCAATGTATGAAGCAACCCCAGCTACGTAACCAGCAAGAGCAAAACCACTTACCTGAAATAGAGGGAATAACACAATTCGCTAAAAGCAAGAAGATAGATTTTGGTACAAGCAGATGATGCACAGAAGCATGTACCTTCCGGAAGTACCAAAAGAAGTCAACCTTTTCCATTCCCATAAATGCAACTCCAGCAGCAGAGCCGATAACCAACATGGATCCACCTGTACCAGCACAATATGCTACCAACTGCCAGAACTCGGAATCTTGAGGAAATGAAGAGAGATCATACATTCCCATTGTTGCTGCAACCAGTGGGACATTGTCTATAATAGCCGACACGACTCCTATGGAACTAGCAATCAGTTCGATGTTGGGAATATGGGCATCAAGATAATTGGCTAATTCCCTCAGGATACCTGCTGCCTCCAGGCTACCAGGAAAATTTTTAACTTGTCATTTTAAGAAACTTGTGTAGTAAAAATTATTAAAGGCAGCTTTAGCATATCACTGTATTTCAGAAACAGGAGATGGATCCTACGCCCAGGAAGGAATATGAAATGCAAACAATGCCATGTCTAAGAGTCAACAATGTAGTTTAGAAAATTAGAGCATCCAAAGCTAATGAGCTTAAAAGGTTTAGTTAAAAATAAGTAAGCTTTAAAATAAACAATTTTTTATTGGTTAAAGTTGGCACTAAGTTTCTTACTTACATCCAAAATAAGTAACTCTTTTTTTTTTTTTTTTTTTTTTTTTTTTTACCTTAATCCAGAAAAAAGAAGCAGTAGACTTGATATGCAGGTAATTACAAAACAGCGCCAATTTTGATTCCATAAAGTGCTTTGGCAGCACTAAAGAGTTCTCCCCCACACGAGCCAACACCCACCCAAAAGAAAAACTATTAAAAGGTCCCATACTCGCCATTCCATCAGAACACAGATATTCATTCAGGACAAATTGAACAGTACACCAATATAAAAGTACTTGTGAGTACCTGCTGACAGAGAGAAGGATTCCGAGAAAGAAAAGAGCTCCTTGAGTATCAATGCGTGATAAAGCCTGTGGTACTTTCAATCGCTGTCTTTCGGGTTCACCATAGTGAATGGCATCTGTCAGGATCCACAAAAATCCCAGCCCAAGCAGAATACCCATGTAAGGAGGTAAGCCAGTTAAAGCCTTGAAAATAGGGACAAATAACAAAGCCCCAATTCCGGCAGCAAAAACAAGCTTGCCTCGAGGAGCCATTTGTTCAGGTGCCAAAACATTTTCAGAATTTTGTCCTTTCCCATTTACTTCACTGAATCAAGAAATATGTAGTTTGATGTATTGTATACAATAGTAAGAAACCAAATATCCTTCTGCATAAAAAATATCACAACTGAGCTTTCTGAATCCAATAGTACCTCGTAAGGGACATTAAAGCCAAAGGGACAGCAAGTGAAACAGCTGATGGAATAAGTAAATCCTGTATAGAACAATAAAGGTCAAGCAAAAAGTATATTATTGATGCTGCGCAACTTGCTGTCATCCAGTCAACACGTTCACAGTCAATAAATATAAAGCTTGTTTACAATATTTTATCAGTTAGATGTAAAAATCGAAATACCTTCATTGTCTGCAATGTGGATATTTGACCATGTATCCAAAGCATGGTAGTTGTAACATCACCAATAGGACTCCACGCTCCACCAGCATTTGCTGCTATGACCACAACCCCTCCCAGAAGCCTGCAAACCACATTCTTAATTCATTAAATAATCTTTAAACAAGATATTTTCATTTCCTGTGTTACATACTGAAACAAAATACATGCTTGCACTCATCCAAGGTCATAAAAACATTTCCATAAACTGAGTTCCCAAACTCCTGTTCCACTATCGCAAAAAACCTTCCTTGTCAGACTACTAAGATATACATAAATTTTGATACCAGAAATTGGTGTTTGCGTGTTACGCACTAATCCAAAATACAAGAGCAATAACAAATAGAAAATCAATTAAAGAACGAGCAAAGCACATAAAAATTTGTAGTGGTTGGTGTTCAATGTGAAAGCTACAAAAAAGGGGCACCAGAAAAATCCCGTATACATGTGACACTTCATAGAGATTCCATAAACCTCTCACCATTTCTCAGGTTTTCCGATAGAATTTTGCTTCAAGAGATTAGAACCTAATTTGCTCCTTGCTTTAAAGTTTTTAATTAATGAAAGAAAGTTGTTCGTTTACCTGTCTCCTTTACAGACTCAAGGAATTGAAAAATACATAATGGACATAGAACATGAAACATTTAAGCGTTCCCAATTCATGTGAGAATTAAAAAAGGTGGCTAGGGGCCACTTACTTGCGGTATTCAGAAGGTGATACCAATTTTCTCAATAAGGAGACCATCACAATGGTAGAAGTCAGGTTGTCGAGGACCGAACTGAGAAAAAATGTCACAAAACCTACCTGTAGTTATTAGCATTAGTCAATCACACACCAGAATGTAGATTTCATATAAGTACGTCTAGATTGCTTAATGACTATCAACCTCCACATATAAATAAACTTAAGTTTATTTTCCCTTTAGATCTTTCACAATTATTTATAAAAAGCCACTCACTTTTTAATTGCAAAGCTTTTAATAAAATTTGAGTTTTGGCCATCATTTGCCCATGATAGTGGCAAAGGATCTAGTTGTAAGTTTTAACTATAGTTATTATATTATTCAATACATACAAGGCATATCTTTCCAGGCTTCTGAAATGGAAAAGGAACATATTATCTCCAACCATTTTTCCCAGAACAAGAATCAAAGTTACAAAGATGTCCATGTTAAATGGAATTTCAGATCTCATGTAGCACTAAGTTGTTAGATGTCTTTTTTCTCCTTTTCCATTGGGATCTAGGATGACTTTATTTGATTTAGAGGCTGAGTATCTAGACAAAATGAAAAATAAGCTCTGTGGCATATTTATGTACTTACTGTAATTTAGAACTTGATAAAAAAACTAAAAAATTTTTGGACAAGCATAAACAATCAACTAAAGTTGTAAATACATTTTCTACCAAAAGGAACACTAACCACCCAAAGCAAAGTTCTTGGCTTGTGAGTAGTGATGTTGTCCGTGACCAACTTGAATCCCTGATGAGCATCGACTATCTCCACAATGGTCATTGCACCAAGCAGGAAAAAAACTATTTCACTTACTTCAGCAGATGCATGCGACAACTCTGAAACAGCTATCTCAGTTGAAGGGGCCTAAACATGGACATTGGACAGCCTAGAAATCATTATGCACAAGTTTTATTGAATTTATACTTTAATCCATGTTTAGTACATAACAGTGAACAATATAATGAACAAGTTTTTAGCTTCTTTTTAATACTACCTAGTGTTATCCAATCCTCCCCACAAAAACACACACATCAAAAATGATTTAACAGTTTTGGAAAACACCCCCTCTGAATTTTCGCACAAATACCCAACTTTGTTTTTGTATTTTCTTTGTTCATTTTTTTTAATTTTTAATTTTTAATTTTTTTTGGGCGGTGGGTGGGAAAAAAACCTTTTGAGAAATAAGTAATACCTCAAAGATAATTTCCAGGTGACATTAAAAGCTAGTTCTTACAGAATCGAAAAGCAAGATAATTTAGGAATATTCAACATGAATTCACAATTTTATCTATAAAACAGTAGAAGTCTTACCCCAATGCTCCGTATAACCCACAAACTAACAGCCATTAGTAGTCCTACTCCACTTTTATTGAATGCCAGAGACTCTTCAAATATTATGCCAGCATATCCTATTCCAAATAACAATGCCATGGCAGCATCCTGAATCATTATTCTTAAAAGGTTGTCAATCATAAGCATACTAGAAAATATGGAAAACAAATGAGAAACAAGCAAGGCACCTGATTTGCTGCCACCCAAGAATGACTTATCGCTAATGCGCCTGTTCCAGCAGCTGCAAAAATTGCAAGAGCTTTCTGCAAATCTGTCTTGGGTTGGTTATTGAATTTAAAATCTTCTGACCTCGCATCATCGACAGAACATAAGGGATCACATGTTCCGGACAGACTCAAATCCTGATATTACGAACCAAAAATAGTTTAAGTAGATTTATCATTTGAAAAGTAAAGAGGAAAATGCTTGAAAATGGGGACTCTTTAAGCATAGATCATGAGATAGTAACATCTGTTTATGAACTTATAAATGCTATCTATAAATCATATCCTTGCTCAACCTCAAGGACAAGCAAACTGGAAAAACAGCTACTTTTATGATACCATATTAAGCTATTGAACTCAAAATCAACCTCTTAGAGCGAGACATTATATTGTGTTTATGTAGCAATTGGACAGAACCGCTCAACTATGGCACAATCAAATCGAGGGTCCAGAGGAGAATTGGCTTGTGAACTAATACAAAAATTCCCATAAATCAACTTTGTGGTACCTTCATATATCAAAATTTATGAATCAAACCAAGTACAAGATAGGTTCCCAAATAATTTTTATAAAACACTCCGCTGTGCTCTTTCATTATGTAAGCAAATAGTGAACAAAAATTATCATTACGGATATCAACCGAAGCACGTGAATTCTGCAGATAAACAACTACATGATCAGCAAGGCATTTCAATAATAAAATTAATGTAGTTTTAATTTGAATTTTTGAGATATCTTGGTTTGCAGAAAAACCACTTAAGGTTAACAGATGTGAAGAAAGAAACTAACTTCAATTTTTTCCTACAGGGTCACACGACATACAAACGAACTGAACTATCTCAAAGTGTGATGTCTTCATAAGAATAAATCAATTGGGAAATGAACATTATTACCTGATTTTGCTTATCTGAGTTGGTTTCGTGTTGAGTCGACGAAGTAGAAGAAGAGCCATCTCGGGCCTTGTCTTCAGCCCGAGCAAGAAGCCTATTCCTGTCCAATAAAATTCCTGGACAATCTCTTATCCTCGAGGAACCCAAACAAGGTGGCTGAGACCAAAGGGTAGTAGGAGGCTGTGGTGAGAAACGAAGTGGGTGTTTCTTGAATTGATGAAAACGTGAATATGGGAGGTGGGTTGTAACTGTATGTGGGGAAACTGTAGACATTGGATGCAGATACTTGTTAGTTGGAACTTGAAGAAGATAGTGAAACTGAGACTGCGTGCAGTATGCGAGGGGAGGGGATTTCAAAGGGGCTCTGTGTGTGTGTGTGTGTGTGTGTGTGTGTGTGTGTGTGTGTGATAGAGAGAGAGAGCGCTCGGCATATCCGAGGTTCTCTGTTTTGCTAAAAGAGTGCTCAAAGGTTAAAAAACATTGGATGCTTGTTTGTGCATGCATTATGATTGGAATGTATGATTAAAAATTAAAGAAAAATTTTTAATTTATGTGTAATATTATTTTAATTAAGAACATGTAATTGAAAATAAGTACGGTAGAAAAAATAATATGGTAATTAAGAATTTCTGCTAGATTATTTGCTCCCTCAATTTTTTCTTTTACAAACTTCAAGAGCCTCTTGTCTCAGTCACGAAGTTCTCTGTTTTGCTAAAAGAGTGCTCAAAGGTTAAAAAACATTGGATGCTTGTTTGTGCATGCATTATGATTGAAATGTATGATTAAAAATTAAAGAAAAATTTTTAATTTATGTGTAATATTATTTTAATTAAGAACGTGTGATTGAAAATAAGTACGGTAGAAAAAATAATATGGTAATTAAGAATTTCTGCTAGATTATTTGCTCCCTCAATTTTTTCTTTTACAAACTTCAAGAGCCTCTTGTCTCAGTCACACAAAAGACACACTGACTTTGTATTTAGAATAATGTTATTTGAACATAATTATTTAAAGATTAGCGTACAGAAAAAGAGAAAAAGAACTTCAAAGACTAAGAAAAAAATGGTTTATAAGGTTAAATGGAATAATATTAGTGGAAATTACATAAAATCAAGTACTTAAACTTTCAAATTCAACATTCAGGGTGAAATTTATTTATGCACAAATCAGGTATTAATAAATATAACGACCAATTTCAAACCCATTTCCCGCCTCTCTCTAAACATCCACAATGACAGCAGCCATCTTCTCTCCGGCATTTGTTTTGTGCAATGCAGCGGCGCCTACCAGACCTAATATGAGCGGCGCTTCCAGATCGTCATGACAATTTGAGCCCCGTAGCCAGGGTGATGCCAATTTTGGGCGGCGCTGCTCGTGGCGTGAGCTCCAGTGCTGTAATGATGGTGATTTTTCTAGTGTCCGTAGCTACTGCTTTAGGAATTTTTTAGGTATGGATGCCACGATGAAGTTACTTGTACTCGACCGCTGCAGATGATGGCACTATAATAGTTTCAGATCTTGTTGCTACAACGGTGATGACAATGCAACAGCGGCCACTGCAATCATAGCTTCAGATTGCGGTACCTATAAGGTCAATGTTTGGGTTTTTTCGCTGCAGCGCTCATTGTGAGAGGTGTGGTGTAGTTTGGCGAGTTCGATTTGGTGGTATTGTATGGTGTGGTGTAGTGTGGTGATGTGGCTGAGTGAGTTGGTGGCTGTGGTGCTGTATAGGGGATGGTGTGGTAGTCGACGGTGATGCACTACGGCGATGATGGAGACGAATGGGGTGTCTGTAACAAAAAATTAGGCTCTATGACCATCTATTTAGGCATATGTGATCAAATATTAGATGTCTGTGACTAAAAAATAATTTGTGACCAATAAACTGTGATCTATGTGATCGATCACCAAAATGTAACATGTAATTTAAAAGATCTGTGACCTTAAAATAATATGTGACATACAAAATTTTTGATTTGTGACCGCGAAATAATTCGTGATCAATTAATTTGACAATATGTGATCAATAAATAAAACTGTGATCTATAATTATAAATCTGTGATCATTAATTATATAACTGTGAGTTTATTATCTTTATTTAATAAATATTTTTAATTAATTAAATGCATACCTGATTTTTGAATTTTCAAACTATTTACTTGATTTTTGAATTGAGGAAAACATAACACCTTATATGTGATTTTTTCCCATAATATTATACAAACAAATGACAGCCCAAAACAAGTAAATAATTGTATAATAAGGAAAATTTATAGATAGAGTTATGAAGGTGGTACTCACTCGCCATTTGAGTCAATTTTCACTTTCAAAAAATAGAACACAAAAGACTTTTGGAAAAACAGTGAAGTATCGGTGTAGTGGCTACAATTTATGCCTAATATAGTAAAAGAATTCAAAAGCAACAATCAAATTTGAATAACAGAACTTAGCAGCGAATAATTAAGTCCTTATTGGGTTGCGGACATCCTACTGCTTTTATTTGCAATGCTATATTTTCAAGAAAATATTTAATACAAGAAATTCAACAAATGGCTTGTACTATTTTTCCTATGTTACAAAATAAATAATGTCATTAGTGGGTTTCAATTTTTTTAGGCCCCAAATTGTCTTGAGGCCTAAGGCCACTGGCTGGGTAGCCTTGGGCCAAGACTGGGTCCGTAATGAACTTTTAGGTCACGTTTGATATACATACTATTACTAAGAAAAAGCTTTCTTGAATTTTCAATTTCAATCGTTCTTTTCTATTTCGATTACTTAAAATTTCTTATTTTCAATTTATCTGTCATGTCCAATTCCTTGACGTACTATATATGCAATTATCTCCTGTCATGAATTGTAAGATTGGACATTGTTTATGACCTGTGCAACCATAAGAGGGAGAAGTAGTAACTTGTTGGGGTTGTCCTTCAAAATTAGGACATTTGTGTTTAAGTTACTTATTTTTTTAGATGTCATTTTAAAAGCTGCCAAGGAAGTTACATGAGTTCCACCAAAAAAATGAATAAATAAATATATAATATAATAATAATTATTATTATTATAAATAAATAAGCCTCATGTACAGCCTATTGGCTTAATTTGACAGAATCCACTGTTTGTCTTCTTTTTTTTTTTTTTCATTCATCTTCTAATGAAAACCGGCTAAGTATTATATGTGAAACTTTTCTATACTTGTAACATGATTCTGATAAAATAAATAAATAAATAAACATGTTGAAATTTATGACATCTAATTGATGTGGAGTGCTATTGTTCTCCTAGAACTGTTATTCATTCTCCCCTTCCAAGCAATCCCCAAACTACTAGTACATCATTTTGTGATTGAATTCAATTTTTAAATTCGGTAAGTTGAAGCCTATTAGTAACAACTTTCGCTTGCTTGCTTCCTTTATTTATTTATTTTTTTCCCAGTTTAGATTAAAATGTTCAGCTTTGAATTATGCCATTACAAGTCAATTGATCACACCCAAATAACTATATAATACATTTTCCAAGTAACAATTACACGAAATGAAATGTGCCTGCTTCTCTTTAGGTTTGGTGAGAAGATCCTCAAGTTGTTGTATCATAATAAGAACTGAGCCACATAACGTAAAATATTGCCCTGCGAACATCGGTAAGTGCATTTTCCATTTAATGAAAACACGGCGAAAGTTTTACAGCAAAGTGGACTAAGAATTCTGTAGAACTATTGAATGTTCAATTAGTTACTCCTTATCCCACTCTAACGCCATCTAAGGCTCTGATTAATACCTTTCATTGTTCAAAGCATCCAGCAAGCCCATCTTAGTATGGTGGTGGAGGATATGACGGAGGAGGAGGAGGATACAAACCTGATTAAAAGCAATGCACAGAATTAGTTTTAATGGCAGAATAGATTTGGAAAAGGTAAAATAAGAACTTGAAAGTTTCATTTGATTCATTTCAAAATTTCCCAGTTAAACATAGGTTCTTTTCTCCATTGGACTAACAGAGTTGGTATGCTCATTGTTGAACTTCTTGAAGGCACAAAACATGGTGAAGGTAATCGATCATCATCACAGGAATTAGACTAAAAATTATGATACACTAGTAAATCAAGCTTCCACGAAAAGAGGCAAATGAAAGGCTTCAAAAAAGAAAATCTCGATAAAACTAACCTGGAGGATAATAGTGTGGGTTCTGTGCTGGCGGAGGATAGGTTGGTGGAGGATATGTTGAAGGTGGCGCATAGGGAGATGGATTAGCAGCTTGCTGTGGAGGATAGTATGCAGGTGGTGGGTACAACGCCGAATTGGGAGGAGGGTATGAAGAATGAGGAGCTGGTGCGTGGTAATCTGCTCTTGAGTGGCCACAAGAAGATCCATATGGAGGAGGTGCAGAAAAATGAGGGATTTGAGGTACGGGTGCAGCTAAAACAGGTGGAGCTGATGGACCATAGCTAATCGCTGGCTTCTGAAAACCAAAAGAATGAAACAATTGTGAAGGACTGAGATAAGGATCTTGACTGCAGTATATGCTGCAAAACATCTCTCATCATCTGAACTGTGAAACAGCTTTTTCAGAAATCAAGATGAAAGAAGAATTATAACTTACATTGGCATTAGCATAGTGCATTATTAGTTGAACTTCCCCTGCATGCCTATAAAGGAAAGAAATACATTAGCAATAGAAAGATATTCTTCTTTGGAAAATCAATTAGTTGTCAGATTAACTTTGTAGTTGTAGTAGTAACATGTTAGAAGGCTGTTATAAGACATCAAAGGCCCATAAGTTTTAGCAGAAAGATACCATATAAAAGAGGTAAATGTGCCCATAATAATCCTTAAATTACACACACAGACAAGGTTATTACTTTCACTTCATCACATGCAGAGATTTGTAAAGCAGAATTACGAGGAAGAGTTCAAGTCAGACAAAGGTGCTCTCATAGCAGGAAATGATTACTTTCTAAGAAGTCTCTAGCAAATATAAACGTATTCTTTCAACAAAATATCCATGTAATGAAGGGCGGGGTTTTGGGATACAACAATTGAAGCGGCGTAACCTCAATACAGCAAGCGCTGCATCAGTGAAGGAACTGCTGCCTGTGAAGTTCTGGTGTTGTCTGCTCAAATATGACTGGAATTGAGCAAGAAATGCCAGC